CAAGCCGAGAGTCCCGCAGCACGACCTGGAACGCAGCCTCCCAGCCATAGCGTCCATCAGCACCTCCTTCTCCCAGCCCCAGGGCTTCTCCCCATACTGCTACTTCTCTCCGGAGAAGAGGAAAGCCATCTCGGATGTGAGAAGGACCTTCTGCCTCTTCGTCACCTTCGACCTGCTCTTCATCTCTTTGTTGTGGATAATCGAGTTGAACGTAAGTCGGGGCAAGCGAATCCGCGGAGAAGTTGCGCTTTTTGATTTCGGTTCCCTCCGCGTTAATTGCTCCTTGGGCTGAGTCCTTGTTCTTCCCGGCGCTCTGCCGGCCGCGCCGGCTGAGAAACCGCGGCACAGCTCGTGTGAACCAGAGTCCGGGTCGTTTCCTGCAGCCGCGGCGGGCCTTTTTTTTCGCCGTCACGGGTAGCACCGTGTGGCGTAGCGTGACGAGATCCCGTGGGGTCGCCGCGTTGAGCAGTTGGCCAGATTTCTCCCTTTGCCTCAAGTGAAGATGCTCGCCGTGTGTGGCATCAGAGGAGCGAGGTGGCATCGGGGCATTGGAGGAGCGAGGTGGCATCAGAGGAGCGAGGTGGCATCGGGGCATTGGAGGAGCGAGGTGGCATCAGAGGAGCGAGGTGGCATCGGGGCATTGGAGGAGCGAGGTGGCATCGGAGGAGCGAGGTGGGATCAGGGCATCAGAGGAGCGAGGTGGCATTGGGGCATTGGAGGAGTGAGGTGGCATTGGAGGAGCGAGGTGGCATCGGGCATCGGAGGAGCAAGGTGGCATCAGAGGAGCGAGGTGGGCTGTGCAGACCCTCCTCTTGCCCGCCCAGCTGTTGGGCAGAGACAGAAGAGGCTTTGAGCTTTGGTCTTGGCATGCTGCTGCTGATCTCAGCCTCTGGAATCCTAGGATGCTGCTCCACCGCGCAGGGGATGGCGAGGGGGAACACGGGGGTTTCAGTCCTCGGTGCAGGCTGCTGCTTTTGCTCCATGTGTCAGCTGTGGCAATAACCAAGGAAATCCAGTTTATTTACGTCAATCCCATCAGGTCGGAGTTACTCTCCAGGCTGTGTTTTATTTTATTTTTCCTGAACTGGTCCCGACTGGTTCCAGCACTGGTCCCAGCCGTGCTGGCGGCAGGTTTCAGGCACTGCATGTCCTCGCGTGGAGCGACCTGAGCAGAGAGGCAAGATGAACAGATAGACCCCAGCCCTGCCGGTGTTCTGGCTTTTATCTCTCAGCGCTGGATCCTGCGCTCGCTTAGCAGCTCTTATCTCTGCCCCGTTTATCTCCCCAGTGCCCGCACTTAACAGATTGTCTCGGCCAGCCGCCCCCTCCCCTCTTTTTTTCGGCCGGCCGCGCGGCGTCGGGAGCCCGAAGAGACCCCTGTCCCCACCCTGCCTAGGAAAAACCATCCCTGGGCCAGCATTCCAGCGATGCCGACGGTGTCCAGCGTGCCTGGCTGGGACCCCGACCTCCTGCTCTTGTCCCTCTTCTCTGGGCTCTCTGGAGAGATGCTTCCTGCAAAATCCAGCCCGGGGGGATAACCCACCACGCGGTCACTGGGGTGGTTCTGAGCATGGGCCTCGCAGGTGGCCATTATGGAGTGGCTGACTGGTGATACTGGGGCCCGGAGCCGAGGTGCGGCGTGTCGAGAGCTGCCAGGACAGCTTATTCGCCTGGTTATGAAGAGCAGCAGTTTGATATCATGACTAATGCTTTTTTTATCGAACGGTTTCCTTCGCTGCGAGATAAGCCGAGCAAATTGGCCCTGGTTAAATGCCTGTTGCCTGCAAACTGCGGGTCCGCGAGCTCGCTGCTCTCAGAGATGCCTCAGCCCGCTCTTCTTCCTCGTTCACCGCAGCGGCCTGTGTTTAAACCGAAAACACCTCCCAGAAATCGCAATCCAAAGTCTTCCTCGTGTCTCGTTCCTCCTGCAGCGTCTCACAGCAGAGTGCTGGTGTGGGGAAGAGGCTTTCGGTGGCAGCTCGGCAAAAGCTGGCACGAGTCCTGTTGCTGCAGATCAGACAAAGCAGAGCTGCTCTGCCCCCCTCTCCCTGGGCACTGAGCACCAGCCCTGACCTAGAGGGACCGCTTCCCGATGGCTGCCTCTTCTGTCCTTGGACTGGCTGACAAGAGGGTGCCAGGATGCCAGGCTGCCAAGAACTGGCCTGAGATCCACCAACTTGTTTCTCACAGATCATCAAACAGCTGTCAGCCCATACCAGCTTCCAGGCCAGCTGGGCTGCGTTCAAACCAATAGCCTAAAGGTGAAGCATTTGTTCCAGTTACCTGAGCCATCCGCAGCCTCGTGAACAGCCATTCCAGGCTCCCGAGAAGAGGATTTATAGTGGCAGAAGCACCAGGGCTGTCAAGCCCCCGGAGCCTCTGTGAGCTTTTTCCACGCTCCCATGCAATCCCCCAGAAAGCAGTTTCACCTCTCCTGGATTTCCTTGCGGTCTGTCTGTGTCTGTATGTCCTTCATCCTCCTCTCCTCCCCCTTCCCTTTGCCAGTCCATTAGACCCACCAGTTGACTTCCTCCCTCGGGTTTCCTGGAGGGCAGCTCCGTGCTGCTGTGAGCTGTGGGAAGCCAGCTGGCCTGGAAGAAAGGAGAGGGGACCCCTCGGTGCTTTACACAACGAGGACGGTCGCAGCTTAAACTCCACCAGGTTGCTGAGTGACCCCCGAGAGCCCTCGTGGGGCAGATGTTTTGACTGTCCAGCTGTGGGAGACGCTTTGCTGGTGTTACTGGAGGTGCTGGAGAAGCAGTTCCCTGTGGCTTTTCGTTTGCTCTGCGTCTCCTCCCGTGCAGTCTGTCACCTCCAGCCATGCGTGGAAGCGACGGGCACGAGTGGGAGGTGGTGTCCGACCAAGGGCTTCATGCCGTGAGAGTAGCGATGCGCCGGCGCTGGATGTGCGGAGCCGAAGGAGCGGCTTTTCGGCGTTGGAAGTGTTTAACGTGCCCGCGTGCTGCTCTGGCGCTCCTCGGGGTGAAACCAAGGGCAAAACGGGCTGTGGTGCCCGCCTGTGGTGCTGCACTGACGGATGAGCCCGCACCATGCATGCTGCAAGCGTTTGGTGCAAGGTCCTGCACGTGGGTCAGGGCAATGCCAAACACAAGTACAGACTGGGTGGAGAATGGATGGAGAGCAGCCCTGAGGAAAAGGACTGGGGAGTGCTGGTGGATGAGAAGCTCAACATGAGCCGGCAACGTGCGCTGGCAGCCCAGAAAGCCAACTGTGTCCTGGGCTGCATCCAGAGCAGCGTGGGCAGCAGGTCGAGGGAGGGGATTCTGCCCCTCTGCTCTGCTCTCGTGAGACCCCACCTGGAATACTGCGTTCAGCTCTGGGGTCCCCAACACAAGAAGGACATGGAGCAGCTGGAGCAGGGCCAGAGGAGGCCACGGAGATGATCCGAGGGCTGGAGCACCTCTGCTATGGAGACAGGCTGGGAGAGTTGGGGCT